ATTTTAATCAGAGAAATTTGATTTAATGTTTAAAGATCACTTTTATTGCCTGTGGAGAATGGAAGACATTAGTTCCCTTTATGGTTTGAAGAGACAGGGCCTGATAATGGATTGGAGTATGGGGGTATGGAGGAGAAAGAGGCTCAAAACATGACTCCCAGGTTTCTGGCCTGAGAAAGTATTTACGAAAAAAGGAACACTGGAGAAGGAGCAGTTTGGGGAGGTGGATGATGAGTTCAGATTTGGACAAGTTCAGAGTTGGAAGTGCCTGCAGGATATCCAAGAGGAGACGCCTAGTAGGCAGTTGTATTTATGGGTGGAGATCCCAGGAGAGAAGTCTGGGTGTATAAACAGTAAATGACCCAACAAATAATTAGCATGTTTTATGGCATAGTTAAATCTTTTTATATCTCTTTGATCTGCTTTTTGTCTCTCAGTAGCTGAATCCTGTTCCTGTCATTAACAGATGGGTTCTCTTCTGATGCTGACCAACACTTAGGAAAAAAAAAAATGTTTTGCTTATTGCCTTGAACTTCACCTTTAATATGAAAACACAGAATCTCACCAAAGCAAACTCTGAGACTGCCAATATATTTTTTCAATGAGTCTATGAAAGTTTAGGTCTGAATGCAATCCAAACTCCCTCATTATACAAATAGAAAACTGTGGCCAGTGTGGTTTTGAATTTCACAAGGTTACATAGCTGGGCAGTTGCAGAATTGGCCCTAGAATTCAGGACCATGTACTGACTGGGCAGTCTTATTTCCACTACTTTTTACTGCTTCCCCCTCTTATTGAATAGCTGCTGTCTTCAGAGTACCAAATACTAATTATTTGTTTCTTAAGGACGTAGAACAGTGCCTACTCTGTTTGGTGTCAGAGCCCTGAGGGCTGGAATTGTCTTTTTATAGAGTATTTATTCCAATGATAAGAAATTCCAAAGGAAAATTTTGATTTCTTATGAACACTTTGAAACTTCTCATGGTTCATGAACCCCTTTGGCTCTCTAATGAGTGGATAACCCTATGGCTGTGTATATAGTAACACAATTTTACATACAGTTTCAGGAACTCCATAGATTCCAAGTTAAAGAACTCCTGTCATGTATTTGGGCTATTTTCAAGGACCTGTGAACCAGTTTTTCTAGAAAGAAGTTCAGTAATTTCCTGATTCTCCCAAATGAGTATCACTGTGTTTAAGAGATTGAATAGTAGTTCAGTTAATTTCCCAGATACCTTACAGACGGTTCATGTGTGCTAATCCATTAGTCACTATTGACTAATATAATGTCCATGTCAGTGACACACTCTCTAGAGGTTTTATTTTTTTAATTTTTTAATTTTTATTTAAAGATTTCATTTATTTGAGACAGAGAGCAGGGGGACAAAGGAAAGGACGATCCTTTGCCCCAAAGTCAGGGCAAAGAGAAGCCTGTTTTATTGGTGCTAACCTATTTTTGATGTATCTAATTTAAAATGAAAGGGGAGAAGGGAAGATACAAACCACCATCCTCACTTTTAACCCCTGCCAAGGCAAACAACAACAACAACATACAGAGAGAACATATGCAGGGATTATAATGTGGTGTCCAGAGGAGGGGGACAGCCTTAACCCTGAGTCCCCCTTTGGTCGTGCGGAGCTGGGGGTAGAACCCCCACCCAACCGCCCCACACCCATAAATACAACTGCCTACTAGGCGTCTCCTCTTCCCAGCCACCTCTTTCACTCTCTGCTTATCTGACATTCTCGTCCCCTTCATTTCTTTAGCACCTGGAAATTCTCCCAGGCTCTAGCTCTTCCTGCTCAGGATGAATTTCTAGCCAGCCAAGATCCCTCCTTTTCCTTATTCACAAGTTTCTTTAAAATCTTGTTGCTCCAATGGAACTTCTCCTGACAAATTGGCACCTTTTTGTTATAAACTCTTTTCTTAGCACTATTTAAAATGATATTACTTGTGTGCCCTTCCTAGAATGAAAACCTCATGAGGGCTGGGATCTTACCAGTCACATTCACCACTTTATCCCCATTACCCAGGACAATGCCCGGGGCCTGGTTTTGGCAGGTGCACAGTAAATATTTGAATGAAGGAATGAATATCTTCCCCATAAAGTCCCCAAGGACACTGACAGTGTATGGCAGCAGAGACCGGTTTTTATTAAAGGATAGTCTGGCTGCTAGCCTGCCACTCAGAACCCAGTCACATAGCCTCCTCAGAGCACTGCCTCATGGTTTCCCTTCACTCTAGAACTTCGTGTGGTTACCCAGAAGCCACACTGAACTGAGCTCTAAATCATTTCGCCAGCTGAAGAAAGTTTCCTCTCTGTCAGAGACTTAAGCAGAGTGGCTGAGAGGTTTGGCTGTGGAGCCAGACTGCCCGGTCAGATCTTCCTGGCTGTGTGACTCTGGCAGTTTCCTGATCCTGTATGGGGCTGGGTATATTCACCTGTAAATTGAGGCTACCAGTAACACCTGTTTTGTAGGGTTATTTTGAGGATGAAATGAGTTGCTATAGGTAATGGGTTAGGAACCATTCTAAGACATATTTGCTCAATAAATGCAGGCAGGATAACGACGATAATGGAGGTGGTGGTGTTTGGCCAGTAATGTCAAAGGGTGAGTATTTTTAGGCTTTGTTTTTAATCTGGTCATTCCATTTTATTAACCATTCTTACATCATTGCTTTCTGAAAATGTAAGAACCAAGTAATCTCTTAGAAATACTTTTTTTTTTTTAAAGATTTTATTTATTTATTTATTTGAGAGAGAGAAAGAATGAGAGACAGAGAGCATGAGAGGGAGGAGGGTCAGAGGGAGAAGCAGACTCCCTGCCGAGCAGGGAGCCCGATGCGGGACTCGATCCCGGGACTCCAGGATCATGACCTGAGCCGAAGGCAGTCGCTTAACCAACTGAGCCACCCAGGCGCCCCTAGAAATACTTTTTAAAATATTCACAGTAAGTGATTTTTAAAAGATAACTTATTAAGAAACATAATTTGATTCCTTATATTAGTTGCATTATTATGCAAAGTTTATTTCCATGAGGATACTGAGTAGGTGTTCCTTCCCCAGGATCTGTGTAAAATACATATCATCTATTTGAAGCATTTCTATAATACTGCCCTTCATATGTGAATCTTCCTCACGTATTTTCTGGAGGAAAAGATTAAAAAATATTATGTTATGATAAAATCAAGTGGTGCCTGGGTGACCCAGTTGGTTAAGCATCTGCCTTTGGCTCAGGGTCCTGGGATTGAGCCTCACATCAGGCTCCCTGCTCAGTGGGGAGTGTGCTTCTCCTTCTCCCTCTGTGCTCTCACTCTCTCTCTCTCTTTCAAGTAAATAATAAAATCTTTAAAAAATAAAATTAAATAAAATTCTGGAAAATAACCTTGCAAGGAAATGCCTTCCATGCTGGGTAGTTCAGCTTTTATTTTATTTTATTTTGTTTTGATTTTATTTTTTTAAGATTTTATTTATTTATTTGTCAGAGAGAGAGAGCATGAGCAGAGGGAGAAGCAGGCTCCACACTGAGCAAGGAGCTTGATGCGGGGCTCGATCCCAGGACCCTGGGGTCATGACCCGAGCCAAAGGCAGACGCTTAACCGACTGAGCCGCCCAGGTGTCCCACTTTCCAGAATTTAAAAGATTATTTCACGTAGAACTGATTTACCCTTCTACGTCCCTTTTGTTTATATGGTAAGTCCACAAATGACAGATTCAAAGTTTCTGTCAGGAAGAATTATTTTTAGGTCAGCCTTAAGAACAGAGAGGGAGAAGAGGAGTGAGTGAGAGAGAACAACAACAATAAAAAAACCCCTTCAATTATAATCCACACCCTTAATTGATGACCTTTATAGTCATCTGGGCATAGAGGGAAAGTACAAAGAAAATTGAAACATAATCAGACTATGACCTAAGTCTGTCTTTTTGGTTTTTTTATTGCTAAAGTAGTAATAATAAAAATACTATTCATAGTTTCCTAGTAATCTAAAATTTTTTGTTTTTTTTTCTTGGTCTTCTGTTCTTCTGTTTTTCCCTTACCACTTAGGGGAAAAAGAATGAACCTCAGAAAGGTTCTTAAAGGAAGAGAGTGTATAAAAGCAGTAGATGAGGGGCGCCTGGGTGGCTCAGTTGGTTAAGCGACTGCCTTCGGCTCAGGTCATGATCCTGGAGTCCCGGGATCGAGTCCCGCATTGGGCTCCCTGCTCCGCGGGGAGTCTGCTTCTCTCTCTGACCTTCCCCCTCTCATGCTCTCTCTCTCTATCTCATTCTCTCTCTCAAATAAATAAATAAAATCTTAAAAAAAAAAAAAAGCAGTAGATGAGATGTCTAAGAATTGTCTCATTTGTTTTTTAAATGGGTCATGTGGATGATAGGTGTGTCCATGAATCAGGACCTTAAGTTCTGTATAAATGAGCTATCCACTGGAGATTTCCAGCCTCCGGAAGTCCAGGAAGTTACAGTCTTAGGGAGTTGATTCTTTTGTTGGTGGTATCATTTAATTTAAATTCTCATGCCAATCCATTTCTTCCAGAAAGCTTCAGTACAGGGTTAGTGGGATGAATAGTAAAGGCTCTCATAGGTCATAGGGATAATACCAGAAAATGACAAAAAGAGAAGAAAGAGATAAAGAATACTTAAAAAAAAAAAAACAAAAACAAGGTACTTGGCTTGGGGGAGTGCAGAGTTGAATCGAAGACCTAGAACAAGTGCCATAAAATTAAATCATTTAAATCAAGTGATAAAAGGAAAAAAGAAAATTGGTTGGTCTATATAGTATATTTTGATATGGTCTGTCATTGTCATTTGTCATGCTTATTTTTAGTTAGAAAGGTGGTTGTAGAATATGACTTTGCTGCGTGGTGTAACTATGGTCTCTGGTATTTAATATGTACAGCTTGATGCGTGCGCTGTGAGTGTGTGTGTGTGTGTGTGTGTAGGGGGTGTGGGTGATTGTCAGGAGGCTTTCACAGAGACAGTTTTCTTTCTTGTGCTTTCTAGATTTTCACCTGATGGAAGGCTAATTGTGTCATGTAGTGAAGATAAAACTATTAAAATTTGGGATACCACCAATAAGCAGTGTGTTAATAACTTCTCAGATTCCGTAGGGTAAGTCCATTCTCTTCGTGCATTTATATGGGTTAGTTCGCTAAGGAGACATTTCGTTATTAAAATTCAAATAAAGAGGGGCACCTGGGTTGCTCAGTCGTTAAGCGTCTGCCTTGGGCTAAGGTCATGATCCCAGGGTCCTGGGATCGAGCCCCGCATCGGGCTCCCTGCTCCGCGGGAAGTCTGCTTCTCCCTCTCCCACTCCCCCTGCTTGTGTTCCCTCTCTCGCTGTGTCTCTCTCTGTCAAATAAAAAAAAAAAAAACTTAAAAAAAAAATTCAAATAAATAATTGAAGGGAAAGAAACCAGAATATTAGGCTATCTTATTCTTTCCTCCTAGGTTTGCAAATTTTGTGGATTTTAACCCTAATGGTACATGCATAGCATCGGCAGGTTCTGATCACACCGTGAAAATCTGGGATGTAAGAGTAAACAAGTTGCTTCAGCATTATCAAGGTAACAATTTCCATGACGACAAAATCCAGCTGATGCTAGGCCTCTTCCAGGAAACTCTTAAGCTGGCAGCCCATGCTTCTCAGTGTGGTTTGGCCCTCTTAAAGAGTCAGGGGGCTGCCTTTGAACTGACTAGAGAACAGTTAGTTCCATCAACAGCATGGTCTGAGAAGTGTCAGCGTGCAGAGGGAGGTGGGGGGACCTTAAAAATGATGCAGGGCTGTGAAAAAATAAGTTGCTGTGAGCTGTTCACAGGTTGGCTCTCTGCATATTGTGAGAGGTCTGGGATAGAAATGGACCCTGAATTTGAAATCAGAAGGAGTTCTGTGAGCACAAGTAGGTGTTACAACTGGTGGAAAACAACATCCGACCGGGCCTGTGTATTGAAACTAGAAATGAATTGATTTCTTGGTTTTTACTGGATTTATATTAAATTCACATTTCCCTTTTAAACTAAGTATAAAACTTACCATGGAGCAGACACTGCTAAATCCTTACAACAACCCTGGGAAGTATTATTATTATTATTATTGCTCTCATTTTAAAGAGAAGGAAATTGAGGCTTAAGGAGAGCAAGTAACTTGCTAAAATAATTGATAGAACTAGCTTAGGGTTTTCTGTTTACAAAGGACGTGGAAGAACAGCCGTCTGATGGCTGTGTCGTGCTGCCTCCTGTTGGAAAGATGGTGTCCAGGAATACATTCTTAGACAAGCTAGCAAGACTATGCACTTCTGCAGATAGACCTCCACACTCTTCACCCCCGAGCCTCAAACCACTAGTGGGTTATGAAATTTCGTTTAAGGCTAGGTTGTATGTGAGCCGGTAGCAATCCACTACTGGTTGTATTATATTGATAAGGTACCTGAAGAGTTCACAGTTATGTGGTTAGCGAGCTCATCTTTCCATGACACGCTTCCACTCTTAAAGCTATGCGGTCTCATGAGCTGGAAGTTGAAGCTGAATGATGGCAAGCTGCTTACTTGTTTTAGTGAGCTATATGGAATTTTGGTGTTGTGGAGACCTTGTCTTTAACTGATTGTTGTTTCCAACCTAATATTGGTAATAGGGGCAAAGAGACATCTTTAGAATTAAAATTTGTTCTCTGAACTTTTTGCTTTTATTTTCTATGAATCAGTTCACAGTGGTGGAGTTAATTGTGTATCCTTCCATCCTTCGGGCAACTACCTCCTCACTGCTTCTTCAGATGGCACACTTAAGATTCTGGATCTCTTAGAAGGAAGGCTCATATATACACTTCAAGGACATACGGTATTAACACTAAGATTTGTGCTTTTTAAATAATATATATTTTAAAGTGTTGATCCATTTTATTATATATCTTTATTATCTTTCCAGGTGTAACACACATCTATCGCACACACAAAATATGTTTGCTTTCAGGGCTTTGTTTTTATCCTCTGGAAGCAACTCTTAGAAATACTACTTATTGTAATTCTTATCAAAATCACTGTGCATCTTTCAGTGGCCATTAAATTAATCCTCCACTGCTGTCCTCCTCAGTATGTAGTGTAGGTTTGACTGGTCAGATGCCGACAGGTAAGCGTTTTCCTTACTTCTGATCTTTCCCCTCCTGTGGAGGCTGTGTCCCATAGCTCTGACACTCCGCCTCTCACCCTCTCATGCACTGCTTTTCATTAATCTGGTTGGTGAGTTTAGAAGGAGAAAGTCAACAAGGAGAGCCCAGTGCCTTCTGTTAGGAGCCTGTCCTCAGTGTTTTTCTCTGATATTTCTTGTGGACATGCCTGCCCTTGTCCGGTCTGGCCTGTGACAGGGTACTCAAATGTGACTCATTCTGGGATTCAGTTCTTCAGCCCATTTGCGCACAGATAAAGCCACATTTTCTCTTTACAAGCCTTTATCAGTAAGAAAGATGACATTCCTATGCGTTAATTTTTGATTTAGAACCCAATGAGGAAGAGGCTTTCTCTTTATTGAGCCTGTTCAATCACACACACACACACACCAGCATATGATGCACTAAATAAAAACTGTTTTTAAGTGTATAAACTATTCCTCCTTTCTGGGTAAATATTCAAACTTCTCTAAATTTTTTAGAATGCATCCTGCATCCTCTTTTTTTTTTTTTTTTTTTTTTAAAGATGTACTAGGTGCTTCCTTTTAACCAAGTGTGAGCTGTTTATCTCCAGAAATAGAATAGGCTTTGAGAAGGGGTTTTGTCTGCCTTCATATATCCTGCCTGGCTTCCTGCTTTGCTTTATCATTTGTTCTGCAGCTGTGTTAGAGCAAAGCAGAAATAGACACTAACCAGCTCAGATATATGTGTATCCATGGATTTAGGCTGAATAAACAACCAATAAAAGTGGTCAAGGATTAAAAAATCCATGGAATAATATAGAATAATAATAATAATAATACAGAATAATAGAAAAAATATAATATTTTAGGAGAAAAACAGTGTACACAAAGATGGAATTTTTCATGGTCTAGAGTAAAGATGTTTAAGGGGCTATAATAACCTAAGTCTGTGTGATGATCTACTTAAAAAATACAAAATGGTTTCCCCCCCAAAGTTTTCTTATACTGATCAAGGACATTAAGAACAAACAATATACTAATATTTTTGAGATGAGAAAGAATTATTCTTATCTTGACTGAAAAATTGACCTAGAGGCTATGCATCTGTGATTTGTCCCAACTCCACAGTCATTGCTTAATTTCAGGTTCTCACTACCTCTCACCTCGATAATTGCAGTAATTTCTTAACTGGCTCCAACCATTAATTCTTGCTCCCATTCATCATTCTTACAGTCGTGATCCCAGTGTTCCACAATCCCAACTCTCCACCTGCTGTGTCCTGCTGGCAAAACTCTCAGTGACTCACTATTGCCCACATGAAGGGAGAGCTCGGTAAAGCCCATTGTGGTCAGGAAATGGCCTTTGTTCATATCACCTTACAGACTTGTCATTCAGTTTCTGCTAGTGATTTGTTGAATAAAGAGTCCAAAACCAGAAAATCTTAATAGACATTCTTATTCACTTCGCATGTACAAGCTTTTCTTTAAATGGGAAGAAAGTGTTATTTTCATATTTTTATTAGTATTGCTTTTTTTATCTAGTATCATTTATATGTGTTTTAATATCATGGGTTGGTTCCTTAATTATCTTTACTCTGCTTACATTAGTTGGCAGCAACTGGGTACGTTCCATCAGACTTATTGCATAAATTGTCTATGTAGATTAGGATGAAAAATTCATACAGTCTTTCTGGCCATGAGAAAACAATACAAAGTGCTTTTTTTTTTTTTTTTTTTTAAATCTCTGTTTATTTCTTAGGGACCTGTCTTTACCGTTTCATTTTCAAAAGGTGGAGAGCTGTTTAGCTCAGGAGGTGCAGATGCGCAGGTTTGTAAATCTTTCAGCTCCTTTGATTTGGTGAGGGTAAAGGCTAAGATTCTTACAACCAGCTCGTTTGTAGTTGTTAAGATGATTATCAGTGAGTTTATATTTTACTTTCATGCCAGGAAGTCTGCTGTCTCATAGCTGAAATAGTGCCAGTTCTGACACTTTCTGGAACTCAAACTCCACTTATTTCTTGTGCTCATCTCGACGCTTAATTATACTTGGAATTTACTGACTTCCTAGTGCTGGTGTGGCGCTTCCACCTGAACTCTTGCCTCACCTTTTATCTCTAGGTCATGTTTTTCAAATGTTAAGCTCCTTGAGGATGGTAAATATAAATTGTTCATTTAGCAAATCTGCATTTTTGGGGAAATGACCAAAAGTCATTCATAGGCAAATGTATTGAATGAGGTGGACCATCAAGCCAAGAACATGCTTTGAACTTTGAAAACATCAGAGAGGATTTTAAAGTAATAAGTTATTTTCTTAGTATGAATTTTAAATTGGACATGAAGGCCATTCAAAGTGCTAAATCTCTCCCTCCCACCCTTAAAAAAGTAGTATTGGGAAGTAGTAGCACTGTTGAAGTATACATCTAGCCTTCCTGACTATTTTGAGGCACAATTATGTAAACTGTTTTTTTTTTTTTAAATCAGTTCTGTTGCTTTTACGTGCAAGTCAGTTTTAAGTGCCAACATATTAATTTTTTATAGGTCTTATTATGGAGGACTAATTTTGATGACTTGAATTGTAAAGACATGATTAAAAGAAATCTCAAAAGGTTACATTTTGATGCATCACCACATCTTGTCGATATATACCCGAGGACACCACATCCCCATGAAGGGAAAATTGAGACTGTTGAAGTGAGTACTTTGCGCCTAGTCATCCTCCTGTTTGCAAGTGTATGTTTTGGGGCGATTGGTCAACTAGATGCTTGAAATCATACTTTATTATATAAAACCTAGTTATGTCTTAAAACCGCAGTACTTTGAGAAACAATTATTTTCACTAATATAATAACACTATAAATAATGGTAGTGTATAATTCTGTTGAAGCTTCTCAGATTTGCTGCTTGAAGGCCTGGAAATAAAGCTTAAAAATTGTGTCAATGATAATAGGAAATGAGAAATCAAACCTAAGACCTCCGGGTGACCGTGAAGCCTGAATTACTTCATATTCTTGATGTGTTTGGGGAGCATCTGTGATGGCTATCATGAGAACAGGGCTGAAAGGCAAGAGTTTTTATAACAGTTCCTGGAATAGGTATCTTAAAGCCTTTTTATGACCAAAAAAATATATATCTGTGGACAGTACAAAGAAGAAATTTAGGCATTAAACCTAATCATTGAGACCATTTTACTATTTGCCTACTTTGCCTACATATATTTTCAAATATATAATTATCTGTTTAGCTGTAGGTTTTTGTTGACAGGTTCCCCTAGGTCCTATAGATTTAAATGTTCTACTCTTTGCAAAGGCAAAATTCATCTTTGCTGGATACTTGGCTGGTGTTTGTCTGTTTCTTTCCATTTTGCGTGATTCTTCTTAAGCCCCTTTCTCTTCCAAGAGCTGATACCGGAAATCACTATTACCTATTTATCTGAATTGTTTTTTCGTCATCAATAGAGCCTTGCTTTGCCTTTAGAGTAGCTATTTTGAGTCCTTAACACTCCTGAGTGGCAGCTCAGTCACCCCACGCACTGTTTATGTGGTGGATCCACATTCCCTTCCACGGTCCCTGTGTCTCCACCGCAATCTGTTCTTTGATTTTGGTTTCTGTTAGTCACAGTGTGTGTGTGTGCGTACGTGTGTGTGTGTGTGTGTGTGTGTGTACACATTTAAGGTTTTAAAACTTTTTTAAGTTTTTTGGATTATTTTCTAGATTTTGTTTAGCCTCGTTTGGGGATTTCTGTCCTAGTTTTTTCTTGGTGGTATTTATTTTCAGTTGTTATAATTTTTATCCTGCCCATCTTCTGACCATCTTTCTAGTTCTTCTAAACAAAGTATTTACCATGTACTTTACTATTTCTTTGTGCTGTTATTGTATCATCATGATTATTGTATCTTTTTTTTATTTCTTTGAAAGAAATAATGTAATGTAATTTGTGGTTCATCACATTTTTGTTTCAGTTCCTACAATGATAGATGCATTTGTGGATTCCCTGTGATCACATGTGTTCACATAATGTATATATGAAATATATTTTAATTTAAGTTCTGTTTTCTTGTTTTACCCCAGCTGGTTTTATTAACTCGTGGTGTTTTTTATTCTAGCATTTCTGGGGCTTGGGTGGGCTTGACCCTCAGTGTTGCTGCTGCCCTGTCACCCACTCAGTCACCTTTCCAGAGTGATGGGGGGTAGAGCTGCAGGCTGAGCCAGGTCTCCTGGCTCCTAATTCAGTGATATTTCCATGATACCACACTACCCCTGCATTAGACTCCCAATCCATTTTCTCTGTGATTTGCTGTCAGCCCCAGCCCACTTAAGAGTGCTGGACTTTCTTGAAAATGTCAACAAGTTGTCTGAGAAGCTTGGCTCTGACAGAACAGCCAGAAAGCAATAAAAGCAGCTGGGTTGCTTTGCTTGGCTGGGTCGAGATGACCCAGGCCATCCAAAGTCACTCTCAACCATAATTTTCACATGTACACTTGAAAAATCTATTAAAAACCAACCTTTCATCCTGGAATTAGAGTTCTGTTATCCTATACAGAATGTTGAGCATTGTGACTGAATTATGTTTGTGGCCTTAAGAATGGCAGCCTCTGTGTACCCGTAGTTTAAATTATCTGTAAAGCACTCACGGTTGCTTCAATTAAGTACGCAGTATAACATATATTTGTAAAACATCTTCAGATCATGTGATATAAAATGCCAGAGAAGTGACAGGATGCTGCATATGAACAATCAACTGTTTGCTTTTTTTTTTTCCCCTAGAAAACTCTTATACTAAAACAAGGGTGTTAAGTTTTCTGGACAGAGGACAGCTTTAATATTACAAATAAATGTTAAGTATCAAATTTTTTTAAAGGCTTCAAGTTAATGTCCAAGGACCCCTCGTAGAACCAAAAGACTATTAGTTTGAAAATATCAACTAGAATGGAAGAGGATGAATCACTACTATGTCCGTTTATGATCAGTACATTTTACTTTGAACTACTAAATTTGGTGGGTTCATTTTTTTTTTTTCAAAGGTTTAGGCAAGGTCAGTTTATACATACTTGGAAAATATTTGAAAATTAGAAAAAAACTTTTTTTTTGAGATCAGAATTCATGATTAACAGTATAAAAAGTATTATTAAAAGATGTAGAAAAAAATGGCTCCCAAATGATCTAGTTAATTTCCCTAAGTTGCTCTTTTTGTAGTAACCATGAGTATTCCATTTCTGAGTTTGAAGCAAGCTAGTATTCCTTTGGTTTACATTTTTGTGTATTTTCTGTGAGGCTCATTTGAGTGGCATAATCTCAGTCTTCTGGGTGAAATCGTTTGGCCTTTTGTGAAAGCCACCTATTTGCCAGCTTAGGTGCTTTGCTTGTTTGAAGGTGGAGTCTTAGACCTTGGGTTCCAACTGAGGAAATAAGTAAATTACTAATTCTTACATGGATAGAGAGGGCGATAGCAGCTTGCTTTTAGAATAAATGAAAGAAGGCCACATGAAAGAAGGCACGCAACATACAGTCCCAGCACCAGCGGCGTGAGCTGTGTCCTTTCCACTGATCAAACTGCAGGATCCTTTGTTGTAAGCACTTCTGGTCTGCGCATGCCATCTTTTTTTTTTTTTTTAAATATGTATTTTTAAATTTTAAATAATCTCTACATCCAACGTGGGGCTTGAACCTACAACCCCGAGATCAGGAGTTGCACGCTCTACTGACTAAGCCAGCCAGGTGCCCCCGAGGCACTCCATCTTGATTAAAAACAGAGAACAGCTTCTTTCTTTTTTTAGTGGGAAAGAAGCCCAATTTTAAAACAAGGTATCTTTTTTTTTTTAAGATTTTATTTATTTATTTGAAAGAAAGAGAGAGAGCACGAGTAGGGGGAGTGGCAGAGGGAGAAGCCGACTCCCCACTGAGCTGGAAGCCTGACACGGGGCTCAATTCTAGGATCCTGGGATCAGGACCTGAGCTGAAGGCAGACACTTAACCATATGAGCCACCCAGGCACCCCTAAAACAAGGTATCTTAACTCAGACCACATTTTGCTATGGGACATCATTAATTCATGCTGTCTTTATCTTCTTCAGATTGACATGAGCTGAACTGCACAGTTCTGCCTCCAGTTCTTGAAGGGGAACTTAATGTGTGTGCAGTACCTTCCTCTTTTGCATATTTTAATGGGAAGACAATAAAGCCATCCTAAGGGTGACAAGCACCAAAACAGTTATTCTAGGAGAATTGCAGAATATTGTAGGAAGGGATTATGGTTAGTTAAAAAGAATTTATTAAATAATTGTTCTGGTGGCTTTTAATCTTATAATAGCCATTTGAGATGAACTTAATCTATAAGTTCTTAATATTGCACAGGAAATTCTGTGTGATACTTAACAGGAAGGAAAAATCCCTTTAACTTAACCAGATATCTATATAATAATAATCTGTGACAGTCTGGCCATGATTCATTGTTGAAAAATGATCAGTTTAAGTCTTCAGGTCTGAGTTTGTTTTTTTTTTTTAAAGATTTTATTTATTTATTTGAGAGAGAGAGAATGAGAGACAGAGAGCATGAGAGGGAGGAGGGTCAGAGGGAGAAGCAGACTCCCCGCCAAGCAGGGAGCCCGATGCGGGACTCGATCCCGGGACTCCAGGATCATGACCTGAGCCGAAGGCAGTCGCTTAACCAACTGAGCCACCCAGGCGCCCCAGTGAGATTGGGTTTTTATCTCAATCTTTTCTTAAGGTTGGAAACATAATTTTGGATAAAAAATGGCCGCTACTCTACAAATCTTGTATTTTATTTCTAGCCATGGCATATGTTTATATTATTTGGGCCTCAATAAATGTTCTCCAGAGATTTCATAATAATAATATTAGTAATAATAACAGTATTAAATACATACAAAGTTATTCTAATTGGCTTACATAATTTGTCATTAAATCTTCCTTTAAAGCTCTGTGAAGTACTATTTTTATTCCTTGAGAAATTGAGGCACATGTAAGTTAAAACTTAAAGTTAGTAAGTAGCAGTGCTAGAATTTCAACCCAGGTTCTCTGGTTCCATTTTGTGCTTTTAACCATTTTGATGTAATGCTTCAAAATAATCAAAATTAAATGGTACTCTGGTAACAGATAGTAAGTCTCTACGTGTTGGGCATTGTACTAGCTTTAGAGTATGTAACAAAGAACAAGATAGGCAGATTCCTTGCCCTTCCGAATTTGTTAGTAGCAGTCCTTGTGCTCATGGACTCCTCAGTGTGGTGGGTACACAGGGCCTCAGAATGGGGTGGTGCACATGAGGTTTCTCTCCTGCACAAACCCCTCAATGATATGCCCCGGTTCAGTGATAGAGAGAACTCCGCCCCTCAAAAGACAGCCCACTCCATTTCCAGGTGAGTGTAGTTATGACATGGTTCTTCCCTTTAATAAGGACAGAGAGCTAGGAGGGACTGTTAATATTCCTGGAGGTTAGCTAGCAAAGAGCCTCACTGGAAGCATCACCCCCTCCACATATTTTCTTTTGGAGAAGACTGTAAGGTTTTCCTTAGTAAGAATGCCCTGCTCCATTTAATGTATGTGGCAGCAACTTGTTAGTTACGTCAAGAGTTTTCCAACTTTGAGAAGTTTACGGATTTCTCTGTGAGAGATGCTGTTTCCATGGGATTTAGATTTTTGAGCAGTTCACATTTCAGATGGTAAAACCAGATTCTATTTTTCATAGGTAAATGATTTCATATCTACACTAGGTGGCAGTAGATAAAAGAGAATAAAATGTCTGCAAGCAATCTCTTTGGCTGGCTAGGCTAAGATGGAAGGAAAGTGATTCATGCTCAGGTTTCTTATCTTGGCCTCCCATGCGGACTCAGAGCTGATAGGAGGAGGCTGTGTTTTCTGCTGTCTGGAGCCAGAAAGAAACAGAGGTGCTGACAGGCTGCGCGGATAGGCCCTCATCCTCATCCTGTACCGCGCTAACCCCTTTTCTGGGGCATGGGCATTCCGGGGCACACACCTCTAACACAAGTGGCTGGGTAATTATAAAAGCCTCTTAACGTTTCCAGAACTCTAGCTATGCCTATCAAACATGATAAGTGTTTTTAAAATCATTCTGCTCCTCTTCCCACGGGCTCAGCCCTTATCAGCACAGTCCTGGACTGTTGCAGTGTTCTCACTGTTACTCGCCGTTTTTCTGGGTACTCCGCAGGCCTCTGTCAGATTCACCTTGCTAAAGCACATTGCAGGCTCCAACTTTTCTGTGCCTTCCCAAATTCCTTCACCCTTCCCAGCTTGCCCCTTGCCAACCTGTCTTATTACTACCCTGTACAAAAGTATCATGTCAGCATTCTGCTTCTGTGCTCAGGAATGCTCTTTACTTCATCTCTGTCTGGTTTTGTTTTCTAAACCTTTTTTTCAAGGATCCATCTAAGCCCTTCCTGTGTTTCCTCCGTGGAAAAGTTTTTCTCTCTAAGTGCCCAGTCAGCAGTTTCTTTTTTGAGATTCTTGTATACTCTTTGCTGGTACCATTCATTTGATACAAAGTTCTCCTATCTTTGTTGCCCTTTGTTAACTAATTTGTATTCACAGTCTTCAGTAAGTATTTGATGATGATGTGGATTTTTTTTTAATTTTTTTTCTTTGGTCTTGAATTCTGAAGTAACCTCCTTCAGAAGTAATCACCAATCTAGTTAATTATTCCCTTGCTTTCCTTTTTTCATTTACTGTAATATATTTTAATCTATAATTAGATGTTATTTAGTTTTAGGTGGTTTTAAGCTTTATACAAATGAAATCATACTGTGTCTATTTCTTTATAAACTGCTTTTTCACTTAAAATTAAAATCCTGTGGGGCGCCTGGGTGGCTTAGTCGGTTAAGCGTCTGCCTTTTGCTCAGGTCATGATCTCAGGGTCCTGGGACTGAGCCCCACATCAGGCTCTTCACTAAGCAGGGAGTCCACTTGAGATTCTCTCTCTCCCTCTGCCCCTCCCCCTGCTCATGTGTGCTTTCTCTCTCTCTCAAATAAATAAAATCATTAAAAAAAATTTTAAATCCTGAGAGTCATACATTTAGATTCTAAATTTGTACAATCATATCTTGTACATAGTTGTATTTCATATATTTTCACTGCTGTATAGGATTCAGTGAATGTACCACAGTAGTAATTACCACGACTTATGTGTCTTATGTGTCTTTTTTACTGTTGATATACATTAGGGGATTTTGGGTTGTGGCTTTTTTCCCCCACCATTATAAACAGTACCGCTATAAACAAGGCTGGCATCATTGAGTTTTTTCATTTTCAGAATCTAATAGGTGTCAAGTGACATTTTGCTTTAATCTGCTCTAATTACTAATGTTTCTGTAAATCTCTCCACATGCTGATCAACTGTTAGGTTTTCTCTTCCATAATTTTTTTTCTTGGGATCACTGTCTTTCACATTAATTTGTAGATGTGTAAGAAAAACCTACTTTTCCAGTTTTAGACATAATCTATCTCCTTTTCCATGATCTGATTGTTAACTTTGTGGTGTCCATTGTTAAACAGAGATTCTTAATTTTGATGTCATCAGATGCATCAGGTTTTTAAAAATTCGGTGGTGTTGTTATTTTTTGCCTTAGGGTTTGCTTTTGTGGCTCTTGTTAAGATGTCCTTTTTGACCCCATGTGACAAAGATATTCTTTACATTTACCTTATAGTTTATAACTTCCTAGTTTTTTTTTTTTTAAGATTTTATTTTTTTATTTGAGAGAGAGAGAAGGAGAGACAGTGAGAGAGTACAAGCAGGGAGGAGAGGGAGAAGCAGGCTCTCCACAGAGCAAGGAGCCCAATGTGGGCATCGATCCCAGGATCCTGGGATCATGACCTCCAGTGAAGGCAGATGCTTAACTGACTGAACCACCCAGGCGCCCCTGTAACTTCCTAGTTTTAACGTAACATTTAGGTTTTATAGCCTATCTACTGTCCACTTTTGTATGTCATATAGTGAGCCAATTTTCTCAACTATAATCATCCTTCCTCTATTGATTTGTGGTGCTATTTTTCTTTTGTATTTATTTTCCATGTATGTAGGGCGCTGTTTCTGAGCTCTTTATGGTATAGCTTTCTATTTAGTTAAGTCTTTTTAAATATCTTTTACATTAGTTTTATTATTTTTCCCATGAGATCTTATACATCTTTGTATTTTTATTGTGATGTATTTAAATTTTTTATGGTATTGTAAATGATGTCTTTTTATTCTTTTAAAAAAATTTTTTATTATTGTTTTCAATGTAAGCTCTACGCCCAACATGGGGCTTGAACTCACCACCCCGAGATCAAGAGTCGCATACTCTACTGACTGAGCCAGCAAGGCGCCCTATAAATGATGTCTTTTTAAAATTTACATTTTCTGTGTGTTGAAGTACAGACATGCATTTGATTTTGTGTATGGATTTTGGATCTCATGAATCCTCTTATTAGTTCTAATGACTTAGCAATAGATTCTCTTGGAATTTCTCCATAGATAATTACATATGAATGACAGTTTTATTTCTTCTGTTCCAATTCTTACATCTTACACCTTTTATTTCCTTTTCTTGTTTTAATGAACTGGCTAGGACTTTTTTCTGCATCTTTTGAGGTGGGTCATTTTATTTTATTATTTTATTTTATTTTAAAAATCCCTTTATAAAGGTGAATTATATTGATTTTCTAATGTAAAATCAACTTTTTATTCCTGGGATAAATTCAGCTTGGTCATAATGATCTTTTCTTATACATTGATAGATTTGATAGGCTAATATTATGTTTAAAATTTTTGCATCCATGTTTATAAATATAGCAATATATTTTAATTTTAGAATGTATTAGGAAATACCCTCTAGGTTGTTACAAATAGCATCCAGTTTCTTATGGTAGAAAAAAACTAATGTTCACTTTTCTTATGTATACACACAGATTAATCCAAAGCTTGAGGTAATTGATTTGCAGACTTCTTCTCCCCCTGTTGTGGACGTCCTTTCTTTTGATTCTACCACAGTAAGTTTTCTTTGACATTTAAGTGGCATTTAATTATTTGGCAAAATCCATTTTCCTTAAAAAGTGTGTGGGAGAGGAGATAAAAAGTGGGCTAAATAGCCTAACATTTTATCATTAAGAAAACTTGTATAAAAAGTCATATTTACAATGTGTCTAAATAGCCACAAGGGGGAGCAGCACCAATTTTCAGAAAAGCTTTTACTTTGATGACCTTAAACTCAGTCTAACCCGTCCTCACTGTCTCATTCCCTATTAAGGTGCCATCCAAGTGACATTTCACTTTGTTGTCACAGAACAGATTTTCTTCTCTGTTAATTACCTTTCAGAGATGCTAAACTCACTTCTAGTTTTCTCCTGAGAAGCTGTAAAAAAAAGCAGTCATTTCTCTTCGTTCATCCCTCTTGATGGATTATCCAGAGATTAAGTATTTCTAGTATTTGCAATTTTATTTATAAAAACTATATACATATAATTTATTTACTCAGTGTAAAGTCAGAGATTGAGAGTTTCAGCCTTTCAATCTGAGTCTGTTAGCCTTTGCAAGGCAGCTCATCGCTGTCATCAATTCCTGCTAGTCAGGGCAAAACTAGTCATAAGAATGAGTAGGAAGAACGGCATGCATGGTCTTTGGTCACACTACTGTGATGGTGTCAGTGTAGTTAAATATTTTGGAGAATTATTAATGTGTGGCCAAGAAAGAAAACAAATAAAAACACTTGACATTATGACATTACACCCTTTCCAGCAGATCTCAAGAATGGTATTTTTGGTAGAGGAATTCTGTAGAGGGACTACTCCATGTTGAATCTATCCTGTACTAGAAAGAACTGTACTTATTAAGGGTTCTTTCACTGCTAATCCCAGGCAGAGAAGACTCATAGATCACTCATGAGAAGTTCCAGCGACAAGAAATCACCCTGGGTTGGGGGGAGGGGCGGTAACCAACAGGCTGATTGTCATGCAGAATTGTCGCAGAACCTCAAGCAGGTCTGTGGTCCTGTCTCTTATAGTATTCATGTTTATAAAATATCCCTCTTAGCACTTCTGCATTAATAACTTACTTATGACATTAAAAATTAACTGGACATCTAATTCTTGCCACATTGATTGGTGGCTTATAATAGGTACTTAATACATTTATGTTCAATGACTTACTCAACAAGCATAAATTCCAATAAGATGGGTTATTGCCCCTGTAGTAAGAAGAGCAAAAGAGAGGTGGTTTTTGAGATGTGATGCCTTCTTATGAAGCTGTTAGTCTATGGAATTTGGGTATTCCTGGCTTAGAAGTTATCACAGATCATCAAAAGTCTTTGGTCTACATTTTGAGACTCACTCTCCCTGCTGGTAACTTTGCAGTTTTGCAAAGCCTCATGACCTGAAGAACCCAGATGTTTTTTTTACAGTATGCTATGCAAGTGGCATAATTACCACCTAGCAAGTGCTAGCAGGGTATCTATCCCTGGATGGTGATCCAAAGGTGCCCAAGTCAGCTAGTCCATGTTATAGGACCCTGACTCAGGGACTACAATGTATGTGGGACTTTAAGAGGACAATTCTGTATGATAAACACATGACAAGTTTGCAGCTATGCCCATAAAACCTTTAATAAGACTGAAGAGTACAGATATTGTCCACATAAGGATAATACTGGGTTGGATTATATGAAATTGCTATTTTATAGGCAAAAATGGTCTAATGTCAGTGATTTCCCATGGTTCAACCCAGTATAGAAGTATTACAAAGAAGACTCTCTACTGTTACTTAGAGTTGTGTGCTTGATGCTTCATAAAAATAAAACAGAGAAGAAAACACAGGAAAACAGAAACCTACATGCTATAAATCAGTTTAGGATTAAGCTAATGAAGTCCTGTCCAGGTAGATTTTTTTTTTTTTTAAGATTTTATTTATTTATTTGAGAGAGAGAATGAGAGAGAGAGAGAGAGAGAGCACAAGAGGGGGGAGGGTCAGAGGGAGAAGCAGACTCCCTGCTGAGCAGGGAGCCCGATGCGGGACTCGATCCCGGGACTCCAGGATCATGACCTGAGCCGAAGGCAGTAGTTTAACCAACTGAGCCACCCAGACGCCCCAGGTACATTTTTTTATAATCTGGAAGATAGCTGGTTGCCTCCAGGCAAGGTATAAAGACTCCTGATTTTATTTATTTTACTAGGACATTCTCTGAAGACATAAATATATGCTCATAAGGCATCTTTTTTATAAATAGTGTCTCTAAAACTTCTCCCTTTAAATTTTCAATATCTATATCTATATCTATATCTGTATCTATATCTATATCTTCCTTTTAGCTCACTGATAGATAATTGGGTAGAAAACTAAAGTGAAATCACTTTAAATGTCCATCTTCTCATTAATCTACTGGTAAGTAATTCTTAATCTGTAGTCCCTGAACACTGGCTGCTTTTCTCTTGCTTCTGCATATCAGATCAGGCATAATTGTAAAGGAGATTCATTTCTGCTCTGGCATGAAGCACAACTGCATTAAGTATTTGTGATGTGAACTTTGCATGTGATTATAATTCTAAAATCCAGAGAAATACTAGAAGCCAAAAAACAGTACTTAAAGGTGGATTTGATTTTTGTTGTGGTGGTTACTCCTTATCTGGGGGATTTATCTGGTTTTCATAGAAGACTGGAAGAAATTTTCCTTAGAATTCATTCTATCAAGAATGGGACATAGGGGCGCCTGGGTGGCTCAGTCGTTAAGCGTCTGCCTTCCGCTCAGGTCATGGTCCCAGGGTCCTGGGATCAAGCCCCACATCGGGCTCCCTGCTCGGCGGGAAGCCTGTTTCTCCCTCTCCCACTCCCCCTGCTTGTGTTCCCTCTCTTGCTCTGTCTCTCTGTCAAATAAATAAATAAAATCTTCAAAAAAAAAAAAAAGATTACTCTTTAAGCCTGAATTTGTCAAATTTCCTAGTAGGATAAAAGCCAGGTTTGTTATGATATAAGAAACAGTTGGCTTCTAGCTCTGCTTTGACTTGATTTAGTATTACATTCGGACTGACCTGGAGATCTGCGAGTGCTGATACCTGGGCTCTGATGCTTTCTTAGCACAAGTCATGCATACAGTGTAACGGCTGCTATCTCTGTGGCTTGTGCTTGTGCCTCGATGGCAGGCAGGACAGCTGATACAGTATTTCGGGATCAAGATAAGCTGTTACCAAAATGCAGTTTTTTTTTAAGATTTATTTGAGAGAGAGAAAGTAGAAGAGCAGGAGCATAGGGGGCAGAGCAGAGGCAGAGGGAGAAGCAGGCTCCCCACTGAGCAAGGAGCCCGATGCGGGGCTCAATCCCAGGACCCTGGGATCATGACCTGAGCCGAAGGTAGACCCTGAACCGACTGAGCCACCCAGGCATCCCACCAATCTGCATTTTTAAACCATTGCTGTTAAAAACAAACAAACAAACAAACAAACAAATAAAAACAGAATGGGGGGGCAGTTTGTAAAGGGATATACTGGCTGTCAAATAGATACAATTTTAAAATGTTGATCTCAAATTCCTAAATCTTTATTCTGATTACATTGTTACTTATTATGTACTGATTTTCTGAGGGTTTTCCAAGATTCCATTGAGTCTTTTTAATATTTTCATTTATTCAGTTAGAACTAGACCAAGATTCTGTCATCACCATTGTACAGCATCATTTAGCATTAGCCCTGACATGGGATGTGGCTATATGGGATGTTCCAGACCCTCCCCTACTCTCACCTCTCTCCTGTAAAAGGTGGCAAGATAGGAATTTCTCTTCTGTATCCTAACATAAAGTCTTTCTTAAAAGCAATATTGACTGTAAACAAAATTTATTTAAAATATTCTAGGATTATTAAAATATTTTATTCTAGGTCAACTATATTCCTAAGTTTTGATGTCCTAATTTTACTGTTATTTGTCCTACAAATGAACAAAATGAAATTGATAATCTTGCTAGTGTTCCTCTGACTGATTATCAAAACACTGGACTCTTCACTGAGAAACAAAACAGTGTTCTCATCTTCATTCTGGCAACTGTGTAGAATACGAGCTTAATGTGGGTACCTTTATTTAGAATTGGGGACAGTATTTCAGGTCAAATTAATTCTTTACAATAAATGAGAATTTGCAATTATATTATAGAAAAAAATCAAGGGTTTACAGTCTTTTGTTGCTCCATCAGTCAAAATATTTAAAATTATAGTACACGAAGACATTACATGAGATGCTCAGTGAGCTGACTTCAAGAAACTTACAACCTAGCCCAATAGAAATAAGAGTTTAAGAAATAAGTGGCAATTTCAGCATACTAGATGCCAAGTGTATGTGACTGTCATGAAAGCTTATTGATGGAAGTACTCAGAAAAGATCATTAATGGGGTGGAGAAAACTAGAGAATTTCTCTAGAAGGAAACTTTTGAGCGGTTCCTGACCTGACCAGAGTTGGGTAGGATTTTGAGTAGGACATTACAGTTGAGGAAAGCAAGGTATAAGTAGATGTCTCAGAAATAATTGAAAATATATACCCCAATAATAAAAGTTCATCGGTCTAGTTTGGTATCTTTAAGTTGCTTGACTCAGTGGGTACCAGATGTGGTAGAATGCCAGCAACATGCCTACTCACAACATATATGTCTCTTAATCCATACTTGTATTTTAGGTAACTATTCTGTGTCCTTCACTGTTCTTGACTTTAGAAAAAGTGAACAAAACAAAAATACCTGTCCCGGAGAAGCCTGCTTTCTACTTTCTAGTGGGGAAGACAGGCAATTCACAGATTAAAAGGGTAGACTGTGTAGTATGGTAGAGCATAGCGTATATAGACCCCCGCCAAAATGCAAAGGCGTAGAAAGCACTGAAGGCAGGCAGGAGCAAGGGTGTGCGTTAGGTAGTATGGCCAGGACAAGTCATGCGGGAGGGGGCATGTGAGGAATGAAGTGAACAAGCCGTGAGGATATCTGGACAGGCGCTCCAGGCAAGTGGGAGCAGTGCCAGAAGGGCAGATT